TCGTACGGAATTTGTTAACCGTCGCCCGGACGTGTTTGGTGAGATGACCCTCAGTCGTGACTATGACCCTCACCCTGTTCAGTCATAAAGGGATAAATGTAGGAGTGATTGTAGAGATGATTTAAAAAAAAGAGAAAAAAAAAGAGAGTGATTATTTTTTTAAACGAGACAATGGAGTGGGTCAAGAGTTATTTTTAGCCTTTGCTGTTGTAAAGTAAGATGTGAGAGGGAGTCTTTTCTTTTTGGTTCTTATCTATCTTATCGTTTGTTCGTCTTTATAGCGCCACACACTGCTGCCGTTACATTTTGACATTTTTTCCCCTCACCTCTGGTTGAAACTCCTGGGTCGTTCTGAGTCCAACTGTTGAGAGTTTTTATTTATTACACGGCTGCTGCTATATTGTTTCCATTTATGATCAAGTACTTGTCTAACCGCCATGGCCCTTTGGACGTGATTTCTTTCCCAGTGTTCCAACACATCAGCCTGCAGTTATATATATATATATATATTAGAGAAAAAAAAAAAACTCCTCAACACTAATGTAACGCAGTTGCCAAAATGTAAACTCAGAATGTACCTGTTTGTACAGTATAAAGTATTACAGAGCCTTTGAAGGGTAACTCTCTTCGCCCGTTGACATCAAAATGTTTATGGTGGTAAATATTAATTTGTGTCTATAGTTTTATTTTTCAAGTGAATTACTATCATTTTTATTTTTTACCCCACTCCTTGTTTATTTTCTATATTGTTTATTTTCTCCTGAATGAAGGGGGGGCAGGGGGGAGAAGCTGTGAAATCCTTCATCCTACTTTATAACCAAAGATGCAAAGCTGTGTAAGTGGAATTTTTTTTTTCTTTTTTCATGCACACATGTATTTTTTTTTTCATCCACCTTTTTCATTTTGTTACTTCTTCTTTCACACAAAAAAAAGCAAATCTTTTTTTTTTGTTGCTGTCCGGCATGTTCTGCATGATTTGTAATCTTCAAACCACTTTCTTACCTCATTTTTATTCAGCACTCTTATTGTAAGATAGTCTGTGAACAGTGTAAATGCAGGACGTGTCGATGCCGCGTGGCCGAAAGAGTGAGAGAGAAACGGAGAAAAAAAAAAACCAACAAAAAAATAACCTAGTGTTACCGACGCTAGTCCAGAAAAAAAAAAATGAAGTGAGCCATGTTTTTGTTCATTTAAATGGTGTTTGAATTTCATATGCCAATAGTTTTGTTACATTGCAAATTTTAATGTATTTAAATAAAAGCAATATTCGGATTTCAAAACTCATTGTTTTAACACAGCTTTTGCATCAAAGGTGGTCAAACGTTGTGGTTCGGGTCCTGATAGTCGCTCCCAAGCCTGTCTATTCCACAAAAAGACAGTGTCAGTGAACTGTGTATGTCATTGTTTCCCAAAGACTGGGTCACGACCCTCAGGTGGGTCGCAGATTTTTTTTTTTTTTTTGGGGGGGGTCGTCTCGCTTCATGTTTACCAGGAGTTTACGAATAAAGTCTATTGACTTGGGTCGCAGTGTGTTAGACTTATGAGAACACATGATTTTTAAGAGAATTTTATTTAAAGAAACATTACAAAACAAGTCTCAGCCAAATGTATAGAGCGTTACGTGCTTCCTCAGCAAACACACAGCAGTCCACAGGAGGAGAAAAAAAAACGTCTTCATGAAGTGTCCACAGTTCAAGTCCAAACAAGAAGGCCAGGTGAGGGGGGAGGGAGGGGTCCTCTTTGACCTAGTACAGTTAAATCCACTAAATAAAAAGGTGCATACGAGGGGGACAACCAGGCAGAACATTTTAAAAACCAACACCAGGTTGACACTTGATCGATTCTGATGACGACTCAGTCGCCCCCACCGTTGTCCCCGGTCTAATTGGCACCAAGTAGGTGTAGGAGCTGACCAGGACGGAGGAAACTCCCAGTGTGATCCTGGCGGTCTAACCCACAGTGACGAATCTGCTGCCTTTGCCGTTCTGTGCCACGGTGCTCCGTCGATCTTTAAGTATGCGAAACCGCTCGTTGAGAGTCATCGATGTTTGCTGCGACAAGAACAAAGTCAACGAGTCAAACGCAGAGAACAGATGGTTCCTTCGACTATTTTTAAATATTTTAAATTACCGGTTTGCTAACACTGTTGATGTCAAACTGTAGAGGAACTCCTTTTGGGATTTTCTTCTCCACTGTTTCCCCTTTGACAGGAACAGAACTAACAGCTGGGGGATGAAGAGTCCAGGCGGTGGGTGCTCTGTCAAAAAAGTAACGGAAGAAATATAATAATTAAAAAAAAAAACAGAACACAAACGTTTATTACAGGTGGCCAGAGGGAGGGAGACAGACACTCACTCTGGCTGAGTCCTAGCTGTGGGGTTGTCGATTGAAACGGTCAAGATTCCGCTGCCCGCTGTTGATGTGCGCCATCTGGTGGACAAACAGAGGTAACTAGTTCAAATCACACAAACACTAAAATGGCATCCTAAATCAGGAGATTTTACTCGTTCCCATCTTTTTTCCCCTTCACACACAGTCATTAAAAACATCACGGAGACCATGGAAAAACTCACTGGCGAGTTCTGACGGGAGGATTGGTTTTCTGCAGCTGTGCTTGTACCTGCAACAGACGTGAGAGAAGTCAGTTAAGTTTAAAGAGAGCTAGATTGGGCACGTAGAGAGCGTCATGACCTCAGTGATCACACCTGTACCTTTAGACCCCTGCGAAACAGGAACGTAGCCTGACGTGCGTCTCTTCTCGTCTGCTGCACAGGAGGCAGGGGTCTGCAAATGTCCGGCAGAAATGGTGAAAGTAAGACTCGGCAAAGCACTGTGTGAAAAGAAACGGCTAAACGTTTACCTTTCTGCTCATCTAATTTCATCCTACAATTTAAGCTGATTTGCTAATATGAAGTAGACAATAATTCTTGGTGCAACATCGTAATCAATGGCTGGGGTAATATCTGGTGAACAGATCGAAGATTTTGCCTCACTCTGCTAACTTGATACTAGTGAATGATGGAATGATATACAGAGCTGAAGAGAGTTATGAATATCTTAAATAAAACTCAAACTACTGCCTGGTTTCCTTGGACGTCATCAAGGGGTTTCTCACCGCCTTCGAAGCTGAAACGGTCTCCTAAACAACGTCGGATTCTGTCCTCCCTGTGGATCTGGCTGCCTGTAGGGTCGTCTCTGGACCTCGGGCTTCCTGTATGGGACTTCACTGCGTTGGAAAATGGGCTTTATTTTCTGCCGCGTTCTCTGAAATGTAAGAAATTGATATATATATATATATGTATATATATATATATATAGACAAGGCAACAACTGTGGGTTTGGCTTTTACAGGGTAATAACACTAGTAACCGTCTTTACAGGTGTATGTGTTCCAGTAGTTCCTACTTTACCTGGTTAAAGGCCATTCTGTTCAACGTTCCAGCTCTTTTAAGGAGAGCAGTTGACTTTCTGGCTGCCAGTCCTGTGATAACACCCTGACCTCGTCGTAGGGGAGGCACCCTTCGGTTTCTTAATTTAGTTGCTCCTCCTCTGGGAATGCCGGCTCCTGATATAGATAACATTTGCTCCATTACACGCGCATTACAGAGTGAGATGGACAGAAATTATGCATTTGTTTGTGTTGCAAGCCAGTAAACGATCTGTCACACCTGTCTGAGTTGATCCACTTGCTGTCCGGGTTGCAAATCCTCTCCCCTGTTGTAAAAATACTTTCTTTTTGAAAGGCCTCCTATTTACCGTGGTCTGTCTCCTTTTTAGCTGCTGCTCTTTCTTGTTAAGCCGAATTATGTCATCTGTTAAATTACATCAGAGGCCGTGTAAACAAGTTAGCATATCTTTGTTTTTATTTACTCCTGTAAATAGCATTAGCTCACGTTAGCCGAGCCTTACCTAACGACATGTCCACCTTGTCGGGAACCGCTGATCGTCTAGTTCGACCCGCTGCAAAGCGGCTTTTGTTCATGGCGAAAAAAAAACGAAACTTCAGTTATACGTGTTTAAAAAGAGAATCAATGTTGTGTTATAGACTGTGGCAATCCTTCGTTCTTTTATAAGACATCAGCTACAACGTGAAACCCCGCCTCCTGATCGAAACGTAAACTAACTTGCGCATGCGCTGTAAACACACGGGAAACCCCTGAAGAAATGCGCATGTGTTGTAACAGTGAGTGCCTTCGCGTCCAGCTAAGAAGATTTGAAAAAAGAAGTTTTTGTGAAATTTGTTCGTTTTGTGCGTTTTGCTAAAACCGTTTTGTTGTCGTTCTGCAACCATGAATAATCATTAAATACTATTTGAGTTTTGTATATTTTTAGAATAAATTCCATAGTCGCCACCCGTATCTGAGGGGTGAAAACTTAGGAACGTAAAAAACTACGTTTTTGATAGTACGTGAAGGCAACATAGATCCGCCTTTTTGTTTAAAGCCACCGGATATGCGTAATTTGCACGTGCGCAGTTAAGATGCCCATTGCATGGCTGTAAATGTAGTTAAACCTTTTCAAAACACAGCGTTACGAAACCCATGTTTTTAGATGACGCTTTACTCGTGCCAACGCAGGTGTGTTTGGTCGTTGCAGCCTTTAATTCCGGTCAGTTTGAATTTAACTCTCAAGTCTTCAGGTCACTTACCAGTGCAACTTTTAATGCTAGTGCATTAACCGCTGTATGACCGTCATTTCAAGGAGGTAAGTTTCAGTCAAAAGCGCAAAACCACGGGGTGTTTCTTTTGTCTTTTCCGTTTTATTACGCTTCATTTCGTTTCATTATTTTGTCTGTTCTTGTTAAAAGTTTAAATGTACATACAACAAATGCATATTTTGCCTAAGGTTAACTTATTTATTGCCTCCATGGGGTTTATCTGTTTTTAACTTCGATACATTAGCCTTCTTTTGCTAATAATACACTGGTTTTATAGCCTTCCTTTTATTTCGGTCAAAGTTTACCGAAAGTTTATGCAGGTTGGGTTAAATGGACACATTATTCTAGATATCGATGTGAGTTGAACGGTTGTTTGTCTCAGTGGCACTATGGACTGTCCATGAGGTTTTCTCTAGAAAATGAATGAACGATGCATATATATATATATATATATATATATATATATATAGTATTTAGTAAACAGAATAGGTTTGTGGTTGGAATAACGTCTGTGTTTTAGTGATACTAACAGTTTTCTTTTTCTTTTACAAAATTACCTCAATTTTGTTTACTGTTAGTAGAAAATATTAGAAAGTTCAAGTCCTCTTCTCCATTTCCTCCACAGCTTATCTCCTACTCCAGCAAAATCAAGCTTAAAGCTCCTTGCCTGTACCAGTTCTAGCCTGAGCAAAGTTCTCTCTCTGCTGGTCGAGAAGTTCACCTGTAAAGCGGCCATGTTGAGCACAAAGCGAAAGGCCAGCTCCGCAGCTAAAGCTCCTAAGGCAAAACAGCAGAAAGGACCTCCTGTGAAGGAGGAGGAGAAGAAGAAGAAGAAGCCGGAGTCTGGAGGTTGGCTGCAGAACCTGGTGATGCAGAAGAGGACGAAGCAAAAGGAAATGGAGTTCAACCAAAAACGACTTCGTTTCATACGTGACGCCAAGATAAAACGGGGCTCAGCGGGTGTTGTGTACTGGATGTTGAGGGACCAGAGAGTCCAAGGTAAATACCGAAGGTCCCTTTTTGTCATTATTTCTGATTCCCACATTTTAAGAAAGATTATTTTTGTTCCCTGTGTTTCAGATAACTGGGCCCTGATCTTCGCACAGAAGTTGGCAGCAAGAAAAAACCTCCCTCTGCACATCTGTTTCTGCCTGATGGTCCCCAAATCAACGCTGTCTACTTTGAGACACTACAGCTTCATGCTCAAAGGTCTGAAAGAAGTGGCAAAGGTAAATTAGAATGTCAAAAAAACACAAGAACTATATTTATCACTTAGTTCTATGATATTTTGAAGTATGTTTGGCAGACAAATAGACATTCCCATTACCTACAGGAAATTGACATCTACAACCATAGCATGTATATGGATATTAAAATTTGCAGTGCAAATTTGTTATGTGATTCTGATCAGAAGCAATTGATTAATCAGAAATGTCTTTTCAAACAGGAATGTAAAGCCTTAAATGTTCAGTTTCACCTCCTCCACGGCTCGGCAGCTGAAGTTCTTCCCGGTTTTGTGTCCAGCCACAGTCTGGGAGCGGTGGTGACTGACTTCTCTCCGCTCAGAGAACCACTGCAGTGGTTGGAGGATGTGGAGAAGAGACTGCCAACGGACATCCCCATCATACAGGTGAAGATTGTGACCTAAAATAGTATTTCTATTTCTATTTTCTTATAACAAGTCTCTTAAAAAGCCCCATTTTTCTTCACACAGGTTGATGCCCATAATATTGTCCCCTGCTGGGTGGCTTCACCTAAACTTGAATATGCCGCCAGGACGATCAGAGGGAAAATCACGAAGCATTTAACTGAGTTCCTGACAGGATTCCCTTTGGTGGAGAGACATCCCTTCACGGCAAGAGAAAAAGCTAAAGTGAGTGGAGAGAACTTTCAGATTGTGGTTTTGTTCATATTCTGATGTGATGTTTTAAAGAAAGAAACAAGACCTCTGCTAATTCATCCGTTTTCCACCTTGCAGAAAATAGACTGGGACCAGACTCTGTCCTCACTGAAGGTGGACAGAACTGTGAAGGAGACGAACTGGGCTCAGCCGGGGACCTGTGGGGGGATGGCCATGCTGGAGTCCTTCATCGACTTTCGTCTCAAGCTCTTTGGTAACCAACGCAACGACCCCAACATCAACGCCCTCAGTCAGCTCTCACCCTGGATCCACTTCGGTCAGTTTGTCATGACGCAAATGTCAAGATTGTTGGGTTAATATAACATCCACTCCAGATGGGAGAGAAGGAAGGAAACGGAAGAAAGTATTTTATGTAAAGTGACCAAAGTTAATAGTGTCAGGATGAACCTAAACAGTGACAAATATTGAAGACGACAGTTAAACCATTTAGTTGCCAAAAAAAATACTGAAAGCCAGTCAAAGGTAAGCAAGACAAACATTTTTCAACTGAAACAAACATTAAATAAACCAAATAGAATTATAACTCAAGGTTTTAATCATTTTGTTAAATGGTAACAAATATCTTAGCAGTAGATATCTAAGTTTTTGTAAATAAAATAAGCCATGAAATGACTTCAATTTATATAATGAAGAATATACATTTGGATACAATCATTTTTTGTTTTACATTTAAAAACCAACATGTTTCTCCAGATAAAACTTTTAGGGCTCCGAGTCGTGTTCCTTTTTCCTCCTGGGTGTTTTGACAGGTCACAGTGATTAAAGCAAACCTGTACAGCACATAATCAAATTAACAATGGCTGAGTTCCATACAGCCGCTTAGGTCAGGCCATCACTCATCTGCGAGTGGCACAGAGCCGTCGTTACTCACCGACACCTGATTTCCCTGCTTGTCAGAATGTGAGAGGGTCTGTTAAGCACGCTGCCATTCACTCAATTAGTCTGGCTATCAATCACGACGGAGAAGCCATTGCTCTGTGGTTGTATTTGCGAGTGAGCATGTGATTTATGGACATATTAATTTTTTTAAATTTTTTTTTTTGTAGTTGTACACAGTGGGGTGAGGTTTTACATCAGCATGATTTGACTGAACCATTGTGCAACCTCTAACCTGTCCTTGGGCATTTCTCTTATTTACCAGTGGTTTGACCGGATATAATCTCTGACTAGTTTTAATAATATATAGTAAATGTGGGTAAATTAAAAAAAAAATGACCAAAAATGTAATGACAAGAACTGAAAAAAAAAATAATTTCAGCAAATGACTTATTGCTTTTTACCCAACAGCTAAGATCATTTAAAAACAGAGACTTTGGTCCAATGTTCATAAAATCTCACATGGCAGTAAAATGTAGATTATGAGCTGCTGCACCAAGAACCTCCCTTTGTTTTTAAGGATTGTCTCTGACCAGACATTAATTTTTTTTTTCAGTTTTTTATTTTCGTAATAATTAGCTCAGTCACAAGCTTTAATGCTGGTTCACAGAACAGCATCAAATCAAAGAGTCTGTCATTTCTTACCGTGTCCTTGATTTCAAAGCTTTACTGTTCATCCTGATCTTTTGTCAGTTTTGTCAGTTTTGTCAGTGTAAATTTGTTACTGACTTTTTATCTTTTTATCTCTCTCTCTCTGTTTTAATCTCTCATCAGGCCACCTGTCGGCTCAGCGCGTGGCTCTGCAGGTTCAGAAAAACGGCAAAAGTGCCGCCGAGTCTGTGACGTCCTTCATCGAGGAGCTGGTGGTGCGTCGGGAACTGGCGGACAATTTCTGCTTTTACAACAAGAAATACGACAGAGTGGAGGGTGGGGAGAGAGTTTGAGTCATTCTTTGACCTTGGTGTTGTTTAATAAATTATTTTATTGGATTTGCCAGCAGTTTGGCATCACAGAAGGTTTTTTTTTTTTCCCTTCTGGAAAATGTTTGGAATGAGTGATCACAGCCTTAACTGAACTGAACTGGTTCCTCAGGGGCGCACGAATGGGCTCAGAAGACCTTGAGAGACCACGCCAAAGATGAACGGCCGTATCTGTACACGCTGCAGGAGCTAGAGAAGGCCAAGACGCACGATAACTTGTGGAATGCAGCACAGGTGCCACCATTTGTCAAACCTGGTTTTATTGTCTTTATTTTATTTGTATAAAGTCATCTAAAATGTTTTCCAAATCGCCAGTAGGTATTTAAAAAAACGGAAGTTTAAACATCTAATAAATAACCTTTTCTACAAATGTATAGCAGGATTAGCATATATTTAGCTGGTTAAGATGGTTGCTTGAGGCTGCCCGGCGTCGGAACAGCTTGAAAATTCGATCCATATCATTAAACATTTTGTCCAATGTCTCTTTAGTACCAGATGGTGAGGGAAGGAAAGATGCACGGCTTTTTAAGAATGTATTGGGCTAAGAAGATCCTGGAATGGACGTCCTCACCAGAGGAGGCGCTGTCCATTGCACTGTACCTCAACGACCGCTATGAACTCGACGGTCAGGACCCCAATGGTGTTGTTGGTGAGAACACGAATTGATTCAGTGTGTTGTTTGTCTACACTTTTTCTTTTTCTCCCCCTTTCCTTCCTTCCTTCCATCTGTATCTGTTCCTCTTCATTAATTTATTCTATTCATTCTCCGCAGGCTGCATGTGGGCCATCTGTGGGGTCCATGACCAGGGCTGGGCAGAAAGGCCAGTTTTTGGAAAAATCCGCTACATGAACTACAAGGGCTGCACCAGGAAGTTTAACGTGGCCCAGTTTGAGCAAAAATACTGTCCCCAAAAATGTCAGAAACTGAGGAGATTTTGAAGGTTGGTAAAGGGAGATTCTGTACATTAAATGTTACAGTGTGTAGTTCTCACACTTTACTGCCTTTTTTTTAGCCCAATATTCAGTTTATTATTTTAGTAGTACGTAAACCTGCATCTGTATTGTTACTGAACTTGATGGAGGGTTCGGCGCCTCCCATCAAATTATCCAAAAAACGCAACTCAGAAGAGTTGTCGCTCTGTTTTTGTCGTGTTATATTTTAGTGTTTAAATACAGATTTGTTTGACTCTAGCTTTTCTTTATTTCATTCAAATAATGCTTAATTTTGGATGTCTCTTTTATTTTTACAACGTCGAACAAAGTGAAAAGCAAGTGTTTTTGTTTTTGTTTTTGTTTTTCTCATTTATCTCAGAGAAATAAACCTTTACTTTGTTGACTCAAACATTCAGTTTAAAAGACTGCACTTGGAATGGGATTTTATTGTTTTGTATGAAATTCACCTGATAAACACCTCTTCACAAGTAAACAAAAAAAAATCTTAATATATAGAACATATATTGCTCGGTTTTTTCCCCCTTTTTTCTGAGATGGCACAAATATAGATCAAGTCAGCTAATGCAAACTTTAGCTAATAAAATATTAATAAATAATAAAAAATAATATAATAAGCCAAACATTTAAGAAAATACCAAAGATACATTGTTTAAAATGTTTTATATTAGAAAAGGTTTGCAAAAAAAAAATAAAGAAATGTGCCTAAAAATAAGCAAGTAAAATAATAAATAAATAAACAGTAATTTCCTGAGGTAATCATTTTACTGAGTGTCTGTGTGATATAGAACAGAAACCACAATTAATACCAAACATAATTAACTTGAGTCTATTCTCTGCTCTGGGCGCTTTTACTGTGTCAGTTAATCATAGGCCAGAAGAGATATTACATGTAGCAATTAGCTCGAGCAGGTGAGTATAATAAACACCACCACATGTTTTTAATTTAAATGTTAATTTTGAGCTCTAACCATAGCTTGTATCATTGTCAATGTTTAATTAACGCAAAAACGGACAACAGTAATGCCACCATGAACTCTTCATGTTTACATTAGCCGTGTTTAGGAACGTGGTGACATATAGATACAAACAGCTTCAAAATGGCTGCCCTGTGAGCGGTAATAATTGCTACTTAATGTGTTTACCTGAATTATACGTAGTCAATTGATACAGGGCTGCACAGGAATTCATAACTTGGATTTCCATTTTACATATTGTGTAGTTCTGAACGACGTTTTTATTTTGAAAAAAACTTGAGCTTGAGAACAGTAGAGGCATTGCAGCAATTTACATCAGTACATGTTACATAATAAATTGTTGTAACAGTTTGGTAAACAATTTTTAAATTATTTTAAAATTTAAAAAATTATAAAATTGCCAAACGTATAAAAATACCCACATAAAATAAATAACATAGACCTTGTATTGTTTTGAATAACAAAGACAAAAGGTTACCTATTGAAGGATGTGAATCCCCTGATTATTAAGTATTAATAAAATAAGCTGCAATGCTGCCACCACTTTTATTTTCATATACTGCCGTTTTTGCCCCAAACTATTTTTTAGGCACACATCATCATCAAAAACGATTTTTACAGATATTTCATAATTATGCTAATGTGGGCGGCCCATATTATCTGACATCCCTAACATGACTTATGCTAATGTGGTCGGCCCATATTATCTGACATCCCTAATATGACCTGTTTTTTTTTCTGACCAATCAATTATGCTAATGTGGTCGGCCCATATTAGATAAATCGGAGAAATCATAGGCGACATGAGTATCTGACATGTGAGAACAATACAACTGCAACAGAAGCCCAGTAATGGCATTGGCTTTGTGGGTAAACTAATCTCACCCGCTGGAACTGGTGTAACAAGCAGCCAATAAAAACCCTGATGCAGTGGCAGAGTTTAATCATTGCACTGTTGTGCTTTATTTACCACCGTTTACAGCTTTTAAATTACTTTTTTTTATTTCTTTCTGAACACCGACCCATGCTTTGTCTGTCTGCTCTTAGAATAATTCCCGGCGTAGGAGCTCACTGCTGTTGGGATTCCAGATGAAAGACATTAGGGCCCAACCGTGACACTACAGAAATGATCGGTGTGAGCAAAGCTGTTGGAGGTAAAGGAAAATCCTGATCATCACACCTCTGCCCTAGAAACTGTGGGATTGTGATTATCCATTCTTTTAAAGGAACCAATCCTGTTCCAGGGGCAAACCAGGAGATGGAGGTGATGAAAGTACAACCTGCAACAGTGCTGCTGTAGGATGGGAGACGTCTGGCTTCTTCGCTGTGAGATGAGTCACTGAGAGACGAACACAGGTAAACACAAATCCTGTTTCCTTTATGGGCTATCTCTTTAGAGCAAAGAATCGGCGCTTATGCTAAAGATAGACCTCTAACTCTTTTGGGTGACAAAGATTGCCGCGCACTCTGGATCAGTTGGAGTTTAACACCTCCCATACATTTATTAAGAAAGAAAGACGGCCATGTTTACGTTGTCCGGTTGTGTGCCAGACTTTAGTTCTACATTCACTTTCCTTCATTTGTGTTGTTTTGTGGGAACTTTTTGCCCTTCATTATGGCTCCCAAGCGTAAGTTAGACTCGTGTGATGTTTTTATGTCCTAGATCACGTGTCAAACTCAAGGCCCGGGGGGCCAAATGCAGCCCGCCAAGTCCTTATGTACGGCCCGTGGTAGCTTAAAAAGCAAGTTCATGCAGCAGAGTAACTTAACCTAAATTTTTCATGCATGCAGCAGAGTTTCTTAACCTGATTTTTCATAATCATAATCAATCAGTCTTAGGTCATAATCACTGGTCATAGTCGTATCAACAATTGTCAAATCACATTCACTAGAATTTACATACAGCCTGCTCCGTTCAAGACATCGTTTTCTGCAGGGAAGTTTCAGCCCTTAATCTGCTGAATATTTGGAGAAAAATACGATGTGTTTGCTTTACCGACTGGATCTGCGTCCTGTTAGAATGTAGACAATTAATACAAAGATTAATAGATTGAAAGTTAATGATTAACTTTGGCTAGTTGATCAGTTCCTTCTTTGGGCTTTCTGTGTGCTACAAACTGATTTCTCTACCTCAGTTATGGAGCAGTTGATGGAGCCTCAGCTCACTGTTTATCACATCAGGTCAAGGATGTGGACTCATTGTATTCTCTGTCTGCTTCTTCCTTAACGGCCGGTCATAATAGAACCACATTTGCGCTCCATCAGTTCCACTCTCCTTCCTTACAATAGGTGAGAACCTGTCCTGTGATGGAGGGCTTCTTTATGTCCAACACTTTATTCTCTCTTCCATGCTCTTGGAGTGATGAGGACTGAGAGACACAGTTGGACTAATGTTTATGTGCAGCACACACAGTCAGTCTTTTGAAATCACCAAGAATCATGAGTGATATGTAGACATAGGTTTTTGAGGGATTATGAAAAGAAGTTTGAATAGTCAGGGAAACGGTAGAATTGTATCTTTATTTCAGCTTTTTTTTTACACAAACCCAGACATGATTTTTGGTATTTATGGGTAAACCTGTTTGAAGTCTATTAGCTGATTTTATCTTTTTTGCTCCTTCATCTTAAAACTATTTTTCTAATAGTCTTACTAACTGAAAAATAAAAGACATTTTAAAAGAAACAACCCACAACACTTTCATGCCTCACACACCCTGTTTATACACAACAGTTTTTTTTAGCATAATACAAAACACATATAAGTTAATCCCATGACATAAATACACATTGATAGTAAAGTAGTCAATACACGTAGTTGTTTAAAATATTTTCTGAGAAATAAATAACACTGTAAATGACATTTCATTACGTTGTAAACCATGCTTTAATACACTTACATATTCTAATGTTTTTTTTTTAAACCATGCTTTAATACACTTACATATTCTATTTTTTCTTCCAGTTTTTGTATTTGTTAAATACGAGTCAAGCCACGTTTTGGTAGGAACCTCAGTGTTTATGCACTCAGCACATCTGAGGATGTTCCTTATGGATCATTCTGTGGCGATGATGATAGCGATGACATCGGTTTGTCTTCCTTAAGTCCATTTGGCAGTCTTGGACGTTTTGTCGCTGGAGGTTCTTCGATGCGACATGTGGATACCGGAGCATCTTGACGAGCTGCGGGAGTAACATGTCATGTGACTGAACATTTCTCTAAACCTACTGGACAGGAGGTTGTAGAGGATGGGGTTGACGACTGAGCTCAGGTAGAAGCAAACCCCGGAGATGATGTGGACGTGCTCGAAGATCTTGAGGTGATGTGGAGAGCTGGGATCCATGTAGCTCCACATCAGTCGGTCCACGTGAAAGGGAGCCCAGCAGAGACCAAAGACCACCACCAACACACCTGGATCAGATCATGAAAAAAAAACACAGATCATATGGAGTCACTTTGAAGGTCATTGGTAGTGACGATTGCTCCAATTAGCTGGTTGATACCTACTCAGCATTTTGGTGACCTGCACGTTCCTCTTGCTGAGTTTCTGCTTACGGGACCTGGAAAGACTTTCTGTCCCGAAGATGCATTTGGAGTCAACCATGACCACCAACTTATCTCTGCGGAGTTGAAGGCCAATGAGCAGGTAGAGAATGCTAATTGTTAGCATGGGGAGCATGAAGAAGACAACTGTAGAAATCAGGATGATCAGGTTGTAGATCCAGGTGGGCTTGACCACATCTGCGGATGGTGATAGAACATTGTGTTTAGTTTAGTCTGAATTCATCAAGCGGGCCATATTGAAGCCCCCGGTGGGCTGGTTTTGGCCCACGGGCCGTATGTTTGACACCTCTAAATTATACAAAGAAACTTCATTTTGAACAGCTCTGGATTTATCTCTGTGTTCCTTAATTAGAAATTGATGGTTATCATTATCAAGGGCAGTTCTAATAATTCTAAAAATGGTGCAATCTCTTGCATCATCTCTTTATTAATACTTTAAGGCTGACGGGTCTGAAAAGAAGATAAAAAACTTTACGTACGACAGATGGCGGATCGAGGAAAATGGCGTCCAAACTTTGGAGGCAGCGTCATGATCCCGTGCAGACTGGTGTTGGGCACTGCGCAAATCATGGACAGAATCCACAGAGTAATGATCACCTTCTTGACGTGTGCGTGCGTGCTCATGTGTTTGACCTTTAGAGGGTGCACCACGGCCACATATCGCTCCACGCTGAGCGCGGTGACGTTAAGGATGGAGGCGAAGCACACGGTCTCGAACAGAAAGGTCTTGAAGTAGCAGCCCCCTTCTCCTAGCAGGAAAGGGTAGTTCCTCCACATGTCGTAGAGCTCCAGGGGCATGCCCAAGATCAGCACCAGCAGGTCAGAAACCGCCAGACTCAGCAGATAGTAGTTGGTCGGCGTCCGCATTACTCTGTAGCGCAGAATGACCGCACAAGTTAAAGAGTTGCCCAGCACGCCCACCATGAAGATGGTGAGGTAGGTGACGCAGACAGGGATGAAGATGGGTGACCGTGGAGGTCCCAGGAACCTGGCCAGATACTCGTCCTCAGTCAAACATACGTCGGCTAGGTCTTGCTCAGTGGCGTTGGTCAACAACCGCGAGACATTCATTCCGCAAAGCAGAACTGTCTCCGGACAGTTGATTTTGCTGTGAACAGTCGTAGCAAGTGATAGGAGAACTTCCAGGGAACAGTTGAATGGCGGCATCATGACGAGTGTTGTTCCAGTTCTGAACATAGAGCAAAGAATGACGAATAAAACAACGTCAAAATGCAATGTTTTCATATACGGTACTGCTCAAAAATATTTTTCCCGTTTACGGTGATTCCTGAGTATTATCGATTTGGTCGATCAAAAATATTTTTCCCGTTTACGGTGATTCCTGAGTATTATCGATTTCGATGTTACTTTTGGCTGTGGTTTTAGACCAGGGGTAGCCAAACATACGGTCCGAGGGCCAGAACTGGCCCGCTATGGAGTCTAATCCGGCCCGTTTGTAAATTTTGACAGTAAAAAAATCCACAGTATTGTCAGTATTTTAGTAGGAAGTTAATGCAGATAGGCGACTGTAATGTTATAGAAACAAACGCTGGAGAAAATGCTAAAAGTTTGAGCTGCTTGTGTTTACTCTACCGCCACGAGAACCTAAAATGTCATTAGAGAATTAATTGAACTGAACTCTCGGCGAGATCACCTAAATACCGCAACTAGCGTTCTATATTTAACCCGTTCTCACAGTCGTCGTTGTTACTAAGCACCAGCAACTAACGTCTCTCAACGGCAGCAACAAGTGTTGGCTGTGCCAGGGTGAGAGAATGAGCTTAAACAAAAGACTTAGCCACGCGCTTGTAGTCACGCTGCATCAAGAAACAACACATTTATCCTCGGCATCAAGCTCGGTCAATTAACCTGTTGAATGTTTAGGATAAATAAGTTTTCACTCACTGGAACCTGGAACAGGCACTCACCTGAAGTTTATACGATGATGTGGAGTTTGTTGGATTCTTTCGGAGGGAAAATTCTCATCGCCTCAGTCCTACGTCTGGGTGTCGGTCCCTTCGACTGTTCCTTACTGACGATGCAGTCAGTGAGACTCAGCTGACATGAGTCCGTGTATCTCTCTCTCTCTCTCTCTCTCGCCCTCTCGCCCTCTCCCTCACAGGAAAGTTTTCCTCCCCTACCCATTCCTCCATTCTCTCTCCATCTCAATCCTTTCTCTTTTCCTTCCTCCCTCTTTCTCACCCCTCTCTTCTGCATCACTCTCATCTTTCCTTAGATTTTTCCCACCTTACTACTGTCTTAGGAAAAGAAGGAATCAAGGTGCTAGCATCAAATCTGTATACTGTATTTTCTGAACTATAAGACGCACTTTTTTTTCATCCTTCGGCTGGGTTTGCGACTATTTTCACACTGAGAGTCGCTAGAGGGCGCTCTAGACTAGTGCACCAGTTTCTGATTCTCCTGTAAGTCGCACTGTTTTTTTTAATCCTTTTGCTTATATACTCTCTGAGAGTCGCTAGAGGGCGCTCTAGACGAGTGTACCAGTTTCTGTTTTTTTTATCCTTTTGCTTACATACTCCGGGGCCACTTATAGTCCGGACAATGCAGTACTTCCTTTTTTTAAGGGGTCTGCTAGTGTTGGATTGTTTGATTGTATGATTTTCTATCTAATTTATAAGTGCGTTTCCCTGCCATTAAATTTGATTTAATGATTATTTTCCTCCCTGTCAATAAAAGACCCAAAGCTATTTTTGTCCCCGGAGTCAATCATGAGCCTTGAACAACAGCCAAAGCTGTACCTGGTTCACGGTTGGTTTCAGACTGACAGCGATAAAAAGTGGGGGGTTTTTTGTGTGTTTTTTTTTCCCTCAGCACTGACAGCGATGATTAGGAGACTGACACTCACATGTCTTTCTCACAGTTTGCTTCAGAAATCACAGATGGGTTGAGTAACATCTGCTGATTGATTTCTATCCCATCCTTTCACTTAAGATTTATGTCTACGGCATACCTTTGAGTCACAAGAGGGAGATTTCATTTATTTTCCACTGTGAGGACGGACGTGAGCTGACCTCGTCTCGCTCAGTAATGACACGTACGGCAACTTGTTGCAAGTGTGCACACGAGTAGTTTGGTAAATGTTGAAAAGTCTCTGAAAAATGTGCTCAGAATTCAATTGAAGATATATATATATTCAAATTTTTATAAATTCCATAAGTGATGATACTGTTTAGAGGAAAATAGACAATAAAGCAGTTTTTGGTTTTACATTAAGCCAACATTTTAACTTTTTTGTTTTTGATTTTTTGATTGAAATTACTGTATCTTTTTTTTTTACGGAATTGTCATAAATTACGTAAGTGCTCTTGCTGTTTAGAGGAAAATAGAAAATAATGCATGCCAGTAAATGTCCCTCGCCAGCCACTAGGAGGCCCTATATAAGACTATCATGATGGCAAACATTGATAAAGGGACACGCCCAAAAGTAATTCTTTCAAGCCAATCCCAAAGTCTCCTTCAACAATATGTGTTTATTCAAGATGACTCGTACAAACTCTTCTTTTATTTTCCATTTAATGGGATTTTATCACCGAACCAACGCTAGCATTTGAAGGGTAAGTGTATTGTTTCGTTTAAATATTTTTGTCCAGAAACATTGACTTTAACTCCTACTCATTTGAACTTCACCAAAAAAAGAGCTGGTGCTGCCTTGCCATGGTAACCCAAGTCGTACACTTGTTACTCCGCACCTTGATGTTACTTTCATTTCGAAGGATAATTAGATCCAGGCTGTGCAGTGTGCACCTCCATTACTGCTTGTCCTTTTACATCTGCAGTGGCTGCCGTTAGGTTTAAAAAATAAAAAGAAGATAAAAAAATCGGTGTATAAATAACCCAGTGTGTGAACGAATAAGTGGTGATGTGAGTCATCAAATGTGCTGTCACCATTATGATGAAAGCTGTATGACACCGGGCAGACGAGGGAGGAAGGGTTTATTAGCACACCAACACTAACACATCTGCTCCAACAGCCAATCCATGAATTCCGTCACAGCTTACCTCTCCGTGCAGGGGGCTCCGGGACTTCTAAGACTACTGCAACTGATGTATCCTAAATATAGTCTGGCACTGATGCTTTAGTGACAGGACTGTGATGAAAGTGCCTCAAAATGCAGTACGCGCCAGTTCAATGCCGTATCAGTATCTCCTTAAGTTGTTCTGTCGCTTTGACAGAGGTGAAATGGAGAACTCGAATTTAATCAAGCGAAAAATAGGAGTTATTGTCTATTATCAAACTGCCCGACGTATAAGCTGTGGCTGTAGTCAAAGAAATATTAATATAAGAACAAGTACGATACTTAGGTTTGACTCCATGTACTTCAGTTACCACGCAGGAAATAAACTATACAGTAGAATAGAATACAATAGAAACAATAGAATTCTTATCAGTTACCACGCAGGAAATAAACTATAAACAATAGAATTGTTGTAGTTTTTGGTTTTGCATTTAGCTAACATTTATCATTTTTGGTTTTTTGATTTTTTTGTTGTTAGCTACTGTGGCTTAATTTTAGATTGTTTGGTCAACTCTACCACTTCTTTTTCTGCTACATTCAAGCAAACCATACATAGCGTAACGTTTGGCTGCTTCAAGGTTTTCTGCTTTGTGGGTTCTCTTCCAGTTTTCTGGTGTTAGCATGGTTCACACAGCGCCACGTACAGGCTTGGCATATGTACTGCAGGGACCGGAGTGGTATTCTGCAGATTTTGTTAGTGCTGGAGTCGTATCACATCGTCACCGTGTAAACAGGACCATAGTACTTTACTTTTCATTTGTGCGTTCACTTCAATCTCAAACTTCCCTCTGCTTTGATTAAAAGACACAGGTCTATAAGGTTGAGTAATGGCAACGAGGGTAGAATAAAAGCGATTTGTGATTCCCGGACTGATTGTGGGCCTGCAGAGGAAGGCAGCTTTGTGATAACCTGTCCCTTGTAACAATGTGGTTGGATTAATCTGGCTGCCTGTGTCTCAGCTGTGTCCGCCGCAATGAGAAAAACCATCAAGTGGGGGATTGTAAGGTCATGGACTCGGACTTTTTAGCCAGAGCAGCAAAGCTGTGTTTTGCAGAGTTCCATTAAAAGAAAAAAAGATACCGTGAAATCTGATGGTACAGTTGCCATTTTCATTTCTGTAAAGATGATCTTCATTTTTGCTAGTGTAATAAACGGTATACACCATGTGATTTTGGGCTGAAATACTGATAAGATATCCTTGTCCGTGGCAGAGACAGGTTCAAGGACGCCCGTCCTCCATGTTTATCCCGCTCCTGAACTGTTTTTGTAGCTACGGTGGCCCAGATCTCAAGTCGCAATTCAGTAAATGGTCATCGTACCACAAACACGGACAATTCACCTCGCATCCTTTCTAACCCCTGATGGAAGCACGATCAAAACAGGTTCTGCCTCATTTGCCTCAAGAAACCGGGCGTCGCTAATCGTTAGCACCGTTGCCTCGACAAACCTATTCCAGGAATTGTACTGAATAGGTGGTGAGAAGACACACACAGAGAAGCTAATTTAGTCTGCAGAACTTCTTAGCTAACAATTAACCCCCCCCTCCCCTTGCTGCTTTCATGCTTGAAAGCTGCTCAGCATGAGCGCGTCTGTTGCATTTAACATTGGCGACACCAGGAGGAGCTCATGATCTACGTGTGAGAGTGAGTGAGGGGCCAAGAGTCAGAGCATCAACTGAAGCACACAGAAGAGTTGTTGCATCATATACAGTGGATCTGCTCTCATTGTGAACCAAACAGAGGCTCATATGTTTAATACAACTCTCCCGAGGCTCTCTCTCTCTCTCTCTCTCTCTCCAGCTGACCTCAGTATAGAAGGCTTTCGACTGTTTCCAACCCACAGATTGACTCATCTGCTTATTCCTCGGGGCCGTGGCTCATGTCAGGTGCATGTCTGCAGAAGAAGAAAACCTGCTAGATGTCAGTCTCTGACCCGAAAGATACCGACGAAAATATTCTATCGGGTTTGTGTTTGGGGAGAAAAAGCTACCTGCGAGCTAGCACTTTATCTCGGACGGACGCTGCTATGAATCGGACCAGTTTATGATCCATTTTCACTGTAAACAGCCCTTTGGCTCCAGGCATTGGGCCTCATTTATCAATTTCTTCTTAAAGGTGCAGTGTGTAAAAAGGTAGCAGGGATCCTAAAAACCGAAACCGACCAATGAAGAATAAAAAGAAGAAGAAGAAGAAGGCACGTTTATTTGTCCTTACTTCCTTCCACCCCGAAATATTGCGATACAAATTTAGATGTCTCCA